ATCGGATGCTTACGTCATAACATCTATCTGCATGCCAAATTACAACCCGATCGGTTTAAAACTGACAAAGTCTCATACAAACTTTCATCCCCTTTTTTACCCCCTTGGGGGTGGAAATTATCAAAATCCTTTCTTAGCGAATGCCTACGTCATAACATCTATCTGTATGCCAAATTTTAGCCCAATCTGTCCAGCGGTTTGGGCTGTGCGTTGATAGATCACTATGTCAGTCAGTCAATCAGTCAGTCAGTCAATCACCTTTGAATTTTATATATATAGAAAGTGGAAATGGACAGGTCATATAGCAAGGTTACAGAGCAATAGATGGAAAATAATTACCTCATGGATAGGACCTATAGGGAAAAGAAAAAGAGGAAGACCGCACACACTATGGGATGACGATATCCAACGTGTGGCTGTAGTACGCTGGCTAGATACAGCAAAAAATCGAGAACGATGGCAGTCTCTGGAGGAGGCCTTCACCTCAGGGGTTCCCTAAAACTAAACTTAATATAAAATAATATTTTTTCTTTTTGGAAATGCACATTTCTTTTTAAATTGGGAAATATAAAGCTTTTTTTATTTTTATTCTTATTTTATTATTTTATAATTACAACACTAATTAAGAGAAAAGGCAATGCAAATTACAATGTTGCATTAATTCTAGGTCAACATGGAGCGAGTACCAGCCGATATCTTCGGAAATAAGTTTTTGATGCGGTATAAGCACAACACACTAAAAATTGTATTTATGGAAAGAAAACAAGACATTCAATAACTTAGCACTTTTATCGAAACCCAGAAATATTACTCATTGTAAATTAAACAACATTGCTATGCATAATAAAATTACCGTAAAACGGGATGAATATAACGGTACAACGATTTTCCAAGAATTATTTACCCCCTTTGCTGCTAGACTATTCTGTAACTTTTAATTCGAAAGATCGAAGTGAACTCGATCGGGGTCCGTCATTTTTAAATTTGCTGCGCTTACAGTTTTTTAATTATTTAATATAAGCGCAGCAAATTTAAAAATGTGCGCAACAATTACAGAAGCCGCACAACTAATTATCTAAAAGATTCAAATGACCATTTTCGACAACATCTGGCCTGGGTAACGCACACGTCATGTCATTGGTTATTAGAATAACCTCGACAATGAGGGGCTAGAATTAATTACTTCGAAAGTTCGAATTGACGTCTTACAGAATAGTCTAGCTGTATCTACTCACCCCTCGAATTCATATCCAACCCGTTTTACCGTTACCATTGTAACCTGGCCCCAGATGACACACACAACAATATTCTTTTTATAATCCCAACTAAAACTCTTACACTCAAGATACACCAAATTTGTACAAAATCGAATGTATTAAAAATTCCAATATTCATAGCCGTCAGTACCAAACATTTCTATCGATAATTATATTTAATGCAGTCACTCTCGACATTACACTCGGTCAATGAGTCTGGTTTCCGTTTCAGATTAGCGTTTTGTTCTGCGTATACGGTCGTTTCAGCATAGGTATGGTCGTACGATTTGCGAGTGTACGAGCGCATACGAGCGCCAGTCTGAACCCGCTCCAGGCAGCAACCGACTTCCCGGTGCACAGACCGTGACACAACCTCCATAGTAGTTACAACCTAACCAGTCAACCAATATATCCCAATCAATATACATTTGTACTCAATTATAATCTCAAACAGCGGCCTTTCGAATTTATTAATAACTACCATTTAAAAAAATAAATGATGCAATAATGTAAATAAATAAAAGTTCATGTTATAAAATCAGCGTCGAAGTAAATGTAGGTATATTATTGTTTTAGCGGATCGATCGTATCTAATGCTGCACAATCAGGCGAAATTTTATATTAATACGTTTATAGACCTACAGCCTTGTTTAAAAGTATTGAGCACCCCTTCACAATATGTTATTCGCTGATTTAACATAGCCGTTTCTGTTTCTATTGTTTTTCATTAGGTAGTCGACATTACTAGAGAGTACAAAATACAAATAATACGAATTGTAATTTTTACAAAAATTAGGCAGTGCACAACTTGGGTTTGTTTTGGACATAGGTCAATCCCCTTTTACTAGAGTTGATTGTTATTTAAATATTAAGTGATTCGCCACCAAAATGCCCTAAAAATTGTGAATTTAGTATGCAGCAGCATCTCGAAATTTCGGTTCTCACTAAGCAAGGGAGCAAGGGAAATTTCAAGTCAAAATCGCTAAAATTATGCAATGCTCGCGACGAGCGGTGCAGTACCCTATTTAGCGATTAGAAGAGACTAAGAGACATACCAATAGGCCAAAAACTAGACGGAAACGCATCACCACAGAAAGGGAAGATAGAAAATTGATTCTAGTCTCTCAAAAACCGTAACCACACTTCATTTGTGCTGGCGGCTGACTTCTCTGAACGAATTAATACAAGAATTGCTGCACTAACCGTGGAAAGAAGACTTTTAGAAGCTGGTTTAAAAGGGTGCATGGCTAGGAGCCCTTGCTGTCACAAAAAAACACAAAAGCTCGACATGAGTGCACAAAAAGTATGTAACATTGAACGGCTGCAGATTGGTCAAATATTCTGTGGTCAGACGAATACAACTTTGAGGTAAGTTTATGAAAACGATTGAATTCTATATAATCAAACGAACTTTTTGCGGTATTTGAATAAATAAATAAAAAAAAAATGGGAGAAATGTTTCTTTGTAAACGACGCATGGACTCAGGAAAGTACATAAAAGTGTTAGAAAAGGCGTTGATACCGTCATTTTTAAAAATTTTCGGCGACACAAACTTAGTTGGATTTAAATTCCAATAAGATAACGCACCTTGTACCAAATCCGCGCGCACAATGAAGTGCTTTTAAGAAAATTCCATTGAAATTTCGGAGTGGCCTGCTCAGTCTCCAGATCTCAACCCCATAGAGCAATTGTGGGATACTAACTTTTACCCGCGGCTTCGCTCGCGTCACAAAAGGATAAAAAGTAGCCTATGTGACATATACCAATACACACAGCACCATCTATACCAATAATTTCTTTTTTCCCTCGAGAATATCAAATTTTTCCGGGATAAAAAGTACCCTATTTTTTATTCCAGACTTCTAACTTTACGTCTGCAAAAATCCAAAGCCATCGGTTTAGTAGATAGGGCGTGAAAGCGGAACAAACAAACAAACAACCTCACTTTCCGATTTATAATATTATATAGTAAGGATATTGAAGCGCAAGATCCGCAATTACTGGATTTCAAACAAAGAAGATCTCAAACTGCACATTCCGCAAGAATGGAACAAAATATCAGCTGATGAGTGCAAGAAATTAGTTAGCTCTATGTCAAAACGACTCGCCGCTGTCATAAAAGCGAAGGGTGACTCGACGAAATATTGATTATTTGATATTAAATAAACATATATTTTCATATGAGTCAATTTTATTTTAATTTTCCCGGAATAAGTTAAGACAACGTCTATGTAGGGGGGTGCTCAATACTTTTAAACAGTTTAGTCCCAGCACGAACCATGTCCACAATTTTCGTGTATTTTCAGTTTCGTGGAGTAGACAAGCTCGCGTATCGTGTATTTTCATTTAGTTAGGGAGATAGGTAAACAAATCACCACTAAGAAAACTTTGGATATGGTTGTGCTGCATAAAACTTCAAACTAGATTGATCCATATTATGCGCGTATCAAAGGTGTGTCGGTGTGTACGACTGTGTGTTGTAGGTATGTATGTGTGGAATGAGGCATTATTGCATTGTTCTTTGGTAAACGCAGTGTGGTGGAGTGTGAAGCGATACAGCTCGGACAGTCGGCAGTCGGACAGGGGAGATCACTTCGTCGACAGGAACATCATCAGTCTGGAACAAACGTCAGCCGCTACACTACTACCGCATGTGTTACTTCACACCGACGACCTCATTGAATAAATAGCCGCGGCAACAGTTAGGTATATGTTGTCGAAGGTGGCGTGGCCCGTGTACAATATTGCTGGATTACCGGAAGTGGATGGCCTTGTTGGAGAGCAGCCGGTTGGTGTCGTCGCGGTCGGCCAGCGGTAGCGGCGCGGGCGCGGCGTCGGGCGCGTCCTCGTGGAAGCAGTGCGCGCGCACGGCCGCGCCCAGCCGCGCCTCGCCCCACGGCCCGCGCAGCACCACCCACTGCACGCCCAGGCCCACCGGGGCCTTGCTCTTCAGGATCAGCTGCACGGGAGGGATAGGTTACAATCGGTCCGCATGCCACGTCCACACAATACCGCCGCGGTACCTGGTAGGTGATCTCCCGCTGGGAGCTCTGCGTGGGGTCGCGCTGGTTCTTGTTGACGAATGCTTTCACCACCCACTGGTGGCCGAAGGCGGAGAAGCGCGATGTCTCGTAATACAGCTTATGCATGAACTCCTCCGTACGATACGGCTTCAACTGCAAGTCTGCGAAATAGTTATGAGTATAAAGTTTCTAATAAGTATTAGCAGAAAGAAGTATGGTACAAATTAATATTTTCATCTATAGGTTAGGTGACTGATACTGATACCCTCTTTGTGTTATTTTGTTTGCATGTATATATGTATGTATGTTTGTCCGCGACTACCTCGCGATCGGCTGGACTGATTTTCATGCGTTTTTCAGAAACGTATTTGTTGCAAAAAAGTTCACTTACACATTACGCTTTTTGTAACGCAGCAGGTTATTAGGTACTTATAAGACATGTGGACTCGTCCTTGATAGTAGAGTTGATAGACAACTAGATAGTAGACCTTGACCTCGATAGTAGGTGGAACTTCAAGAAGCACTTTTAACAATTGGCTTCTAAGTGAGACTACTAGACTAGGCTTGACTACTAGGCTAGGAGCTACGCTTAAGTGGCTCGTCATACCCAACCTCGGGGGTCAAACGTCGAAATAGAATTATCGAGAGGTAATTGTTTCACATTCAGCGGGATGAAACACCCAGGTGTCGTCGCTGCGACCACCTGGAGGATACAAACATATGGTGGCAGTGTGCCCTGCATGGCCTGAGTACCGTCGCACCGCCGTGTCTGCAGCCTCTCATGCCGACTTTGGTTCAGCCATGGTACGGAGCGAGAGGGAACTAAACGTAAGAGACACTCCGGGCGTTGGAGGATTCACGAGACGATTTCCGGCCACCGTAAGCGCGAGTCTGCACCTGCAGACAGCGAGTGGCAGACGCATGCCTTAAACAATTACTCCAAACTCTTCAAAGTTTCAAATTATAGATAAGCAGCGTGGAGCTGTGAGAACAACCACTTACCGTTAAAGGCAATTTTCTCGTAGGAGAGCAGATCGAGCACCTGATTGTAGACTGCATTCGCCTCGTTGACGAGGCGGTCCCGCTCGGCTAGCGTGGCCACCACGTCGGCGGCCGACTTGGCGGGGTGCGCGCAGGCCGCCTCGTGCGCGCCGCCCTCGTGCGCGGGGCCCAGCCACGGGCAGCCGATGCACGCGTAGCGGCACCCCGTCAGCCTGCCGCCACAACACGATCACGTCATTACGTCCTACTTGTGTGTCGTTCCCCGCGCCACTATGCTCATTTATATATGCAATTATTAAATAAATAATACCTACATTGTGATCGAGTAGCTCACAAATCTGAAATACCCTTGCGAATACATTTTGAATTAAGTGAAAATTTTGTTCATTACTGTAGACATGCACTTACTTCCACAGTGCTAAGCAAGACTGCAGCAAGTGAAACCAAACACGGGCGATGGGTTCAGTTCGCATTACACCAGGTGTTAGTGTTACAACGTGTTACATTACGGTAGAAGCAGCGCACCTGCCGTACCTACGGCGCTTGAGCGACGCCGGCGGCCGCGCGGCGCACATGTCGCCCGCCCCCGCCGCGGCCGCTAGAGTGCGCGCCAGTGCCGCGGCCAGGGGCCAGTATATACTGGACACAATGCGAACCAAACTATCCAAGTAGCGCCAGTTTGTTGACGAATCGACTACGATTTGCGAGAACTTGAACTTCCTGGGGGAACAAATATGTAGCCTTGTAGGTACTAGGCGTTACTCCTACCTGTCCTCCTACTGCGTTGTAATACTCATCTATACCTACTAATACTAGCGATTCCGGTGCGGTTTCACCCGCTCTACTCGGCTCCAATTGATCGTAGCGTGATGTAGTATAGCCTGTAGCCTTCCTCGATAAATGGACTACCTATATCCCACACAAAATGGGTTCGCTGACATCGCAGCGGTAAGTCCCTTCTTTGAGGAGTGGCTTGAGAGACGCTACAGCGTCCTCACCTACCGCCTGATGCAGGTCCTCACCGGACATAGGAGCTTCGGGAGGTACCTGTGTATGATAGGGCGGGAGGAAACGCCCGAGTGTCATCATTGCGAGAACCGCCCTGAGGGCACGGTGGAACACCGCCGGCGACGGCGACCTCTCGCGTCCGCCCCTAGTGCGGGCCATGATGCGGAGCGAGGGGGTCTGGAATGCCGTCTCCTCCTTTTGCGAAGCAGTCATGTTAGCTAAGGAGGCAGGGCGCATGAGGCAGCGAAGTGCTGCCTCCTCACAACCCAGCCGTCGCGAAAGGCACTCCGGGCGTGGGGGATCGCGGGCCGATCTCCGGCCACCGTAAGCGCGGGCGTGTGGACGGCGAGCATGGGTGGCTCGCCGCCCGACCAGAGGCCTTAGTACGAGTTTGATTTACGTTTAACTCGTCGAGTACCGGTTTTGTAGACACAATTATAAAACAATAGGTTGCGGTCACCGGTGACCGCTTGGTGTTTGATAGTTTAAAGTATTCGAAACGAGTACGCGTTTGGCACTCTGATTGGCCGGCTGCATTGAACCAACCAATCAGAGCCCCGAACGCGTACTCGTTACGATTACTTTAAACATAAAACAAACTCGTACTAAGGCCTCTGAACCAGACCCGAACGCGTGAGAAGAGCTATCAGACCACCACAGATATGGGCCCCAATAGGGCTGATGCCGATACGGAGTCGCAGAGAACCTAACGAGTTACCGGGGCGCCGGCTCGAAGTCCAGGAGTAGGAACGGGGTGGTTTTTAGTCAGTAAGAGTCACGCCGGCGGGAGAAGTCATTCGATGATTTGCCCCCCTTAAAAAAAATCCTACACAAAAATAATTATTTAATCCGAACCAGTAGCTTATAACAATGTATATTATATAGGTACCGTTAGCCCTGTAGTCGACGTTCAAATAGCATCAAGCGGTCGGCAAGGTTCCAACAGAAAATAGTACAATTTCAAATAATCTAATTTACATAGGAGGGTAGTTTTTAAATTACAATGACAGAAATTATTTGCTATGCCACCAGGCGTACGCACAAAGCGAGGTGCTGCAGCACCAACGGCAAGAGCGATGGGTCTCATGAACTCGATGATAGCTCAGCACCCAGAATTAGATGTGTTCCACGATAAGTATGTCATACGGAAATTAATGTCTAAGTTTTTAATACAAATGTCAATAATATGGAACTATCTAAGTGATTAATATTGTAATAGGTTTAAGTTTCTTTTTTGTATTCTAGAATGTAAGTATTTTAGCTCTTGCTATAAACTTTCATTTTAATGTAAATAAATAAATAAATGACTTATTTGTAATAAACGCAATAGTACACTCCGTGCCAGCCTTTTAACACTTGTTACTACTACAATTCTTTATTTTTTCATGTCACTGTTCCCTAAAGAACATTTGATATGATCAACACCATGTGGTATGGTAATGTTTAGGTAGTAAAATCAATATAATGTATTTATACAAGTTGATAAGCATAAGTATTTATCTTTTTATACTTGATACTTTGATAGGATGGCGATTGGCCCCCATCTCGCCTGGTGTTAAACGATGGTATAGGTAGTATAGATATAAAGCTACTGGTTCCAATAAAATATTATTAAACACTATAATGCGTTTTGTGTTTGATGATCCATTTGTCGAGTCGTCATCATCAACAGCCTATAAATGCCCACTGCTGAGCAAAGCGTCTTCTCACACGGTGAAGGTTTGAGCATTAATCACCAGTCTTGCTCAATGCGCGTTGGCGATTACAAACTTATTATTAGAAATTGTAAGCCCAGGTTTCCTCACGATGTTTTCCTTCACCGTTTATCAGTGGTGCTTAGATAATCTTAGAAAGTACATATTATTATAACTCTGGTAAAGTCACATTGGTACCTGCCGTTGGTAGCTTTCGAACCCGCACCCTCATGCATTAGAAGCAGGCGTCTTAAACCTCCGGGCCATCACTACATCATTTATCAAGTAAGGCTATAAAACTTCACGCTGCAGTCATTGGGAGCAGACACCGCGTGTGAGGAGCTAGTTAAGTTACAAGTATAGAATGGTTAACGTCACGTACGACACGTTTATCATTATTATATCATAAGAAACGCATCGTACCACACGCCGTGAGCTGGCCCTGACTGGCACTACAGAGTTACTGTGGTAAACTGTTAAACAAGAATGCGTCACCTCTCCTCGCACGTGTTCTCCTCGTGGTGCTGCAGCGAATGACGCGGGAATACGCGTGTGCAGAACTTGCACTCGGAAGGGAGCTCTGAGACTGTCTTCTCAACGGCTAGGTTCCTGGAGGCGGACGTCTTAGAGATTTCCACACGACAGTTGGGGCACGTTGCTGCCTCGTCGCGCAGCCGTGCATCCGCGAGTAAGTGCGTGAAGCATGGAGCACACATGAGGTGACCATTGCTACACTGTAACACAATAACCACATCAGTGCGGGGCCGGGCAGACCCTTCCCTTCTGCCCTGCTCAATTTCATATTTATTATGTTGATTGCCAACTACCTATTTCAAATTATAGATTGAGGATGAGACTGACAGAGAGAAAATGAAAGGTATGTGTGTGCTACAATATGGTTACTTGTGATTGTGATACCTGTAACCAAACTATACATTGTAATTGTACTGTTGTAACTGTAGAAAATATACACTCAATAATATGTTCCACAACAGACTTATATCGCATTTGAATAGCTTTTCTATTCTGCCAAATCTTAACAATTAAACAACAGTCTTTGTAAGCAAGATAATTAATAAATCACATAAACTATATTCTGCAGTCTGCCAAATTATAAATTTGAAAATATGGGATATTTTAATTGTGAATTATTAAGAATTTTTATTGACCTACCTATTTGTTATAAAAACTGTTTGTTTTTTATTCATATTATATGACATAGAGATAATAACTTTTAAATATTGAATACTTAATGAATTTTAGTAAAACATCATTGTCTGCATCAATAAGGATTGTTATTAGGGATAAGGAGAGTTAAGGGATTTCTAAATAAAGAAAGAAATAAATCTCTGAAACATTTCTTTATTGAAAATGAAATGTTACAAGAGTATGTACAGACTAAGTTTACTTGCTATGTTATTGATCATAAACTAATATTAGTCTATAGAATATCACAGATACTTATTTCCTAATATTGTACTCATACAAACAACACAATTTGTTCAGATTATGTACACATTTCATACAAATAGGTCATGGGTCACACACACATTGTCTAACTTAATGAACATAAACCATAATAATTATAAATAACAAAACCCGAAACAAGGGGCTATCACAGATACTCAGCCATGGTATCTTTACAATGATAACCAAATCATATAAATTATACATTGTACGCCATAACTTATAGGTACTAAACACAATGCTGGGTGACACCGGCGTCGTGGAAGTCACCACGACACGATTATCACCTATGTTGTGAGCTGAAGGCTCAACTCAACTTACAAAGAAAAAGATCTGTAAAACAACTGATGCGCGCATTAACACGATCAGCTGTTTTAGAATACCTGAAACACGGCCGCCTGAGGCAGGTCCAAGCAAACTGCGCAGCAGAGGATTCCTCCTAGCCTATGCTCGAGCTTGTCACTCCCCTCTTTGTCGGTCAGTTTACGTTTTTTAGTCAATGGCTCATCGGAATCTTTCGCGTCAGTCTCGACGTCACCCTCACTAGACGATGGCATAGGCTCACTTTCGGCCGCCTCAGCCATTGTACAATGTAAATAACAACAAATTACGAAACAAACCGTGCTACTGCGTCAGTCAGATAGACGCTAACAGCTAAGACAGGGCCGGCACACATATAGCCATTGACAGCTTACAAAATCGGACCGTCAACTACATCTAGTTTTCGAACCTGAAATTAAATGTTGTCAAAACTAATATTTTCAGTGGCCACACAGTTCCAACCAAGGTTGCTTGTCTCAAGAAACAAGAAACCCATAGATTGCTGCAAATATTAAAGCCGTATTATTTTTGTAAAAATATTTTTGTTTTTATTTTATTTTATTTATTTGGAAAAATTAACAATTACACACTATATTATAACATTATAACAAATATCAAAGTATAGAATAAATGTATAACCAACGACATTCTCCACAGAATACAAAAAAAAAGTAGTTAAAAGAAGTCGTACGATTTAGGTAGGCACACTACATACATAAAATCAATGTGGCTAAAATATTGTACTGATCAGCGATGAGACGTAAAGGTGCCCTTAAGCCTGCATTAGTATGACATGAGCCAACGAAGAATACAGGTTTCGAGCGCAACCCACGGCTCACTGTTGTTCTGGGTACTACATACCGCATTCGATTGGAAATGTCCATACAGTCATATGCATTGTTACATAAATCATACAAAAACATAGTCTCCAAAATTAATCTCCTAGTCTGAAGACCGTGGAGTTTGTACCTTTTAAGCAAGTCATTATAGCCTGCAGGTACACGAAAACAGCGATGATGAACGGCTTTTAAACATTTATTTTGTATTTTTTCTATCCTATTTTAATAAACGTATATTAGTTTATGGGAGTTATCCACTTCATTTCCACAGTCCATTTGCGCTCCCAACCAACCTAGCTCGTCGAGGACTAATCCACAGCCTGATCCCTCCGAGCCCGTACAGTTACCTTATGGCATCAAAAAATTTTTCTTCATCGCTATCGTGCCCAAAACTGGCAGATTTTTTTTAAGGTGGAAATATTCTAGGTTTTAGTTATTTGTATTCATATATGTAGAGATGTCTCCTTCTTTGGGTTGACCTGGTGAAAATGGGCACCGCTTCCCGCGACCCGGAAAAACGATGCTCATAGCCCCTTCTAAATATGACTTCTAAATCTCCTTCTGCCTCTTCTGCCGACTACTCGATTATTGACACTGTTTGTGCTACTTTGCTAGCTTTGAATTTTGTGTGGGTGTAGCTTGTATACCAGTTGTGGATTGTGAGCGTTGTGTGATGGTTGATTGAGTGGTATGTGGTGTTTGCGCTTGAGATGAAAGAAAGAAAGAAAGAAAGAAAAATAATTTATTTGGTACAACACGATGACGAAAACTGTGTCTCCTAGTACTTTGCTAAGAATGATTCTTGTGTGAATGGTGGCTTGCTTCTGTAGAATTGTAATGTCTGTTGATGTTTCTAGTTTGTCTGTGTATCTGCTGAGACTTTTGGCTACTACTTCTATGGCTCCAATTACTATAGAAATAACATGCGTTTCAACATTTCAAGGCGTCTAATCTCTGTCTTTAAAAGGCGGTATTTACTGAACTTCTCCATTTCTTTTGCTCTTATGTTGTAGTTACTTGGTATGGTTATATCAAAGAGGTATGTGGTGTTGGATGTTTTGTTTGTATATATTATGTCCGGTCTGTTGTCGGCAACTGTGACGTCTGCCTGAATTGGGATTTCCCACATCATTTTGCCTGTTTCATTTTCATTTGTATTTATAATATTAACTAGCGACCCGCCCCGGCTTCGGCCTTAAGAATCACTCTATCTATTAAAAAAAACCGCATCAAAATCCGTTGCGTAGTTTTAAAGATCTAAGCATACATACGGACATACAGCGAAAGCGACTTTGTTTTATACTATACTAGCGACCCGCCCCGGCTTCGCACGGGTGCAATATGCATGTATTATACATACAAACCTTCCTTAAGAATCACTCTATCTATTAAAAAAAACCGCATCAAAATCCGTTGCGTAGTTTTAAAGATCTAAGCATACATACGGACATACAGCGAAAGCGACTTTGTTTTATACTATGTATTGATATTGATATTGATATTACTTTGTTTCATTACTATGTAATAAAAATATTATATTTGAGGATTGAGGATTGAGGAAAAATCTGTAGTTGTTTAGTAAAAATGACTGTAATATAACTAGATGTAGGAAAGGACTAAGTCAGGCATTATTTAGATTAGCAAAAAAAAAGTACTTAAAGACAGACTGACTGAGGCAGAAACTGATTTTTAAGCACTATATTTTTCGACATTATAATATAAGCGCTACAAAATCTAACTAATTTTACTTTACTCTGTTTACCACTTGTGTTTGTTTGGGTGTTTTTGTTCCTAGGGTAGTATGGTAAGAAGTGCCTTCCTAATTTGAGCTTATGTAGTTTTAAAATATCGACGCTTGAGAGCTATTTACTAATATACTTACATACCAAAATGTATTACATTTGTTTTGTTTTATATCACGACGGTGGCAAAAAAGCACACGGCCTACTTGATGATAAGCGGTTACCGTGGCCTATGTACGCCTGCAACACTTGGGGCATTACATCCCCAAGTGTTTGTGTAGGTATTACGGTTAATTTATACCATTAGATTGTTAACTACTATTAGGTACTGTGTAAACAACGGTGAACAGTAAATATCTTTAATTTTAGTTCTTTGTCGGAGTAACAATTATTAAGAAAACAACAAATTCAAATAAATTTTAAACGACATATTTATATCTGAAATTTGTAAACATAAAATTAAAATGAACTAAAATAGGAATTATACTTTGAACAAATCTATCGTCTGATATTTCCCTAGTAGCTGATAATTTTTAAATGTTAATTTGTTTGACAAAATGAAAAGTAAACGCTATAATAATCACATATGTTTCCCGAGTAATAGAATGCATTTTCTTAATAGAGTCTGGCAAACGAAAGTAGAGACTGAAAAAGCCCGGCAAATTTAAAAAAATCAGTACAGCAACCCAAAAATTAGTATGTCATACCTGGAGTAACATTGATACTTTATAATAATTTATTTGTTTGTTACGTCTTCACGCCTGGTTTCTCCAGGTAAAGCTATACTTAGGATTATCTGTAGATGTTATTAAAAAATATATATACTAGGATTCAATTTTCAGATGGCGTTTTAAATTGATTGGCATAAATTTTCACGAGTGGCAACTCTTCTCCCCTATACTTATTATGTATAATAAGTATAGGGGAGAAGAGTTGCTTTGGCTATGACGCGAAACAAGTACCTATCAACGAACTTCGTTACAAACAAAGGTACCTACTAAAGGTTTGTTGTGTAATAATAATATATAGATTAGATGATACCCCAGTCCCACACATAGAAAGCAAAATACATTAGCGTGGCGCAGCGTGTCGTAGCACCACGACGACCAATCGGCTACAAATAATACAAATACTTATATATAGTGATCGACGCTGCCACGCACATGCGATATGCCACGAAATACAAAGAGAATATTTTAATAATCTCTATACCTATATTATAAAAATAGGTATTAGTTAGTCTCGCTAAAACTCTCGAATACGGCTGAACCGATTTGGCTATTTATGTTCTTGAATTATTTGTAGATATCCAGGGAAAATACTATGTAGATGACCCGGTAAACTTTGTACCGTCTCAAGCATTATTTTCTCACCTTTTAAAAGTTTAGTGTCTCACTACCGCTATGATAGTTACACAAAAAGTAAAACGTAGCATAACACAGTAATGTATTTTTGCCTTTAGTTTTCAGCTCTTTTGGTTTTTGGTGAATGTATCAGGTTAACCCGCAAAAAATATCGTAAGATTTTTTGCGATTTACACACTGATATGATAAGAGTATGGATAAGAAACAACTAGGAAAAAATCGTGCCTACATAAACTTCACTTGGTCACCCGTAATGGCGGATAGAACTAGGGATGTAACTTTTAAAACTGTAGAAATATCGATATTTTAGAATTGGTTTTGATTGACTTAACAATAAAATATCATTATTTTATGATTC